ATGGAGTGTGATCTATCAGACTCGCCCTCTTAAATGGAATTATATACATCCCTTATATCATCAAGATGTAACTATAGAAATTATAATTATACTTTAAAATATTTAAAATATTTTAATTGTGAAAAATATAATCCCATATAAAAGTTCCATGCATATCTGGTATCTTTTAATCTTATGCTAATTCTACTTACCTTTTACTCTAATTATATACATGATTATCTTCAAATTATACTTATAACAAAAAGAAAGTGTCAGGCCTTAGAGAAATCCAGCTTATATTCATCGCTTTTGGCTTATTTTTAGAGGAGATGAAAAAGATGCACATAACTTTCCTTCTAAAAGTTATGGCTGTCCTCTGTAGTAAATAATTATTTGCCACTTGAACTTGGAACCACTGCTCTTTGCACCATTGGGTAAGTAAAACTTCTGTGGTTAACTTTTCTGAGACGCACTGTCTGAAGCATCTGATAAGGTTTGGCAAAATGACATAACAGCAGCAGCGGCTGATATACATAGTGCCAGGCAGGTTCTGTGCTAACTGCTCCACATACATTAGTCCTGGGTTCCTCCTAGAGCTGCCACAATTCATTTAAGGCCAAATGAATTCAGCAGAAGAAACAGACCTGTATTATTTGAAAGAATGAAAAGATCTTTCCAAAACTGGACATTGTCTACAAAACTATGTATTATATAACATGTATTATGCACAATAACTCCCAGAAGGCAATACAGGTGTTAAGCTCTTCCATTATGAAGAAGACAATAACTGTATAAATTAAACAGAAATCATGTGATAGCACCTTGGATCAATCACTGATGAAAACCTTGCCATAGCTGTCAAGAATCCAAAGAGAAAGTGGTGGCTAGGCCAACAATTACGTGAAGCAATTTATCATGAGAACAGCCATTATGCAAGATGCAGAGCTCAATACTGATTCCATAAAATACTTAAATGCTTGTCACTGCAATTCTTTACTAATTACAATGGAAACTTTGTTGTTATTGTTGGGAAAGGTAAAAGAGGATCTCTACTAAGACATCAGAAAAGGAATCTTTGAGGTTAAGCTATTACCCAAGGTTAAGGCAAATCTGCTATTTTGATACTTTTCTCCTTTAGATGGTGAAACAAAAATGCTTATTTCTATATACCCACTGGGTCCTGGGACTCAGATAAACTAAGTGGTTCTCTAAGTTAGTAGCATGGCACAGTAATAACGCTGGGATTGAGCTCACCCTGACCTTGAGGAAGTTACCAAGTCCCTCAGATTCAGTTTTCTTATCTGGAAAGTTAGGAATGAAAAAAAATCAGTTTCAAAGGATTGCTGCAAAATTAAATGAAGTGCTATGCACCTGTTCAAGTCAAGTAGTATGCTCCCCAATCCTCCCCTGCACACACCGGAACTAAAGATTCCGGAGGAAAATTTTCAGTATATGGGTGTTTCCCACAGAGGGTCAAAGTGGGATAATAAGAACGCCTTAAACATAACATATTGTATTTATTAAAGCTTTACAGTTTATATGGTGGTTTCCTATGTTATCTAATTTCATCTTCGTAATGACACCGTGTACTAGATATTTATTACTATTCCCATTTTACAGACAAGAAAAAAAAGGCCCCCAGAACTTAAAGTCCTTTGCAAAATCGCACAGAAAGGTTAAGTGATGAACCCAGTGTTCAAACCTAGGTCTTCTGACTTCAAGCACAAAGCTCTCTCCCTACATTCAGAACACTTAAAAACACAACGTTTTATTGTGCCTATCGTTACAAAGACTGTATTGCACACTTAAGAATTTGTTAACATGGTAGAATTCATGCTAAGTATTCTTACTAAAATAACAAAAGTTGTATGTATGTAGAAAAAAGTATTGCTTAATCTAATTAAACTAAACAGCTTCTGCACAACAAAAGAAACTAGTATCAGAGTGAACAGGCAACCCACAGAATGGGAGAAAATTTTTGCAATCTACCCATATGACAGAGGCCTAGTATCCAGAATCTACAAGGAACTTAAACAAATTTACAAGAAACAAACAACACCATCAAAAACTGGGCAAAGGAGATGAACAGACAATTCTCAAAAGAAGACATTTATGTGACCAACAAACATGAGAACAAGTTCAACATCACTGATCATTAGAGAAATGCAAATCAAAACCACAATGAGATACCATCTCCCACTAGTCAGAATGGCGATTAAAAAGTCAAGAAAAAATAGGTGCTGGTGGGGAAGTGGAGAGATACACTTTTACACTGTTGGTGGGAATGTAAATTAGTTCAACCATTGTGAAAGACAGTGGCAATTCCTCAAGGATCTAGAACCAAAAATACCATTTGACCCAGCAATCCCATTATTAAGTATACACCCAAAGGATTATAAATCATTCTGCTATAAAGATGCATGCACACATATGTTTACTGCAGCACTATTTACAATAGCAAAGACTTGGAACCAACCCAAATGCCCACTGATGACAGACTGGATAAAGAAAATGTGGCACATATACACCATGGAATAGTATGCAGCCACAAACAAGGATGAGTTCATGTCCTTGGCAGGGACATGGATGAAGCTGAAAACCATCATCCTCAGCAAACTAACACAGGAACAGAAAATCAAACACTGCTTGTTCTCACCCATAAGTGGGAGTTGAACAATGACAACACATGGACACAGGGAGGGGAACATCACACACTGAGGCCTGTTGGGGGATGGGGGGCAAGGGGAGGGAGAACATTAGGACAAATACCTAAC